GGAGCTCGGAGCGGCGGCGGCGGCGACGGGTCCTCGGCGACGGGCGCGGCGCAGCGGAAAGCGGCCCGCCGCGCGCCGCCCTTATATACGGCCGCGGGGCGCCCGCCTCCCGCGCCGCGTCGGCCAATGGGCGCGGGCGGCGTCGCGGAGCGACGGCGCGGACGGCCAATCGGCGGCGCCTCATTGAAAGGGAGAGAAGGAGGGGAGGGGGCGAGGCGGCGCGCGCTCCCTCAGGCCGCTCCCGCCGCCGCGCGCGTTTGAGCGCGGGCCGCGCGCGCCCATTGGCGGCCAGCGCCGCGGCGTCAGCGGTGACGTCACGGGCGGGAGGGCGGGGCGGGCAGAAGCCCGCACGTAGCGGAGACGGGAGGGGAGGGGGCGGGGCGGCGGTTCCCCCCCCCTCGCTGGCCCCGCCCCGGCCCCGCCCCCGGTGCTGAGGGCAGCGCGCGCGGCCGTTGGAGCCGTTGGGCCGTAGGCGCCGTTGGCGCCGTTAGCGCCGTTAGMGCCGAGGGAAGCACCAAGGGAAACGCCCCGGGAGGCGTTTCGTGTGGGCCCGGACCGAGCACTCCTGCAAGGACACCCGTCTGTCTGTCCGTGCAGCGGGGCTGCCCCGGAGCGAGCTGTGAAAGTTAAGGAGCTTTTCAAGGTGCTCCGAGCTCGTGCAGCGCTAACCAGTGTTACCCACGCGAGCCCCTGTGCTGGCAGAGCTGGGGCAGCCTCACGTGGTGGCCCGGGCCTGCGGAGGGGCAACTCGAATGGAGAGAGGCTGCCCTGTCCCCCCAGAACTGCCCGGGCCGGTGAGGAGAGCCAAGCAGGAGGCCAGGAGGGAGCATTCCCTGCTCCGCGTGCAGGTAAAATAAACGCAGAGAAACACSGAGTATAGTAACCAAATTATCAGCTATTAGCCATTTATTGTTATTAGCCATCATTAGTCATGAGTGCGCTTCTAAGCACTCCCTTGCAAAGTAACCGTGAACTCCAGCTGCATTTGGATTTCCRAAAGTGGCAGTAAATTCAGTCTGTGACCATTAGCCTAAGTGGGGACTGCAGTTTCTTAGAGGCCTGAAGGTTACACAAGACACAGGCCTGTRTACAAAGGTTACATGTTGCTGCAGGTGGCCTTGGAAATTCCATACTGGATGTGAAACTACCTACCTCAGTGTTCACTGTAATTCATCAAGTGCCTGCTGACGTATGGTGGCTTCCCAAATATCTGCTTGCTGTCTGTGCTAGATATTTTGGTATTCTGTTTGATATTTTGTAAATATATATATATATATTTACATATATGTTTGTATACATATATATGCATGTGTGTATATATATATATATATATATAGCTTTGTAATTAAAGCTTTTTGGACTTCTTACAGGAAATGCATAAGCTAATTAATGGCCCAGATTATATAGCAGACGATTTTTTGCTTGCTTCTCCCCTAAATTTCCAAGAATTCATATGCAGAGGAAAATAAACATGCAGATGCAGAGTCACCAGCGCTGAGAACCGAAGGTAGGTGCCCGTGGGTCACCAGTTACACAAGGATAGCAGGAAGCTTGTGTTGCAACAATAGGGGTTTTGGTCTCAAAGTCTCTTGGTGCGTAATTCTCATATATCTGAGTTCTCTGGTCAATGAAGATAAACCGTATCTGATCTGTGAACTGGGCAAGTCCTGCTATTTTATAGAGACATTAAAATGAGAGGCCCAGCACAAGAGATTTAGAAGGGGTGTGTGTTTTGCTGCAGATCTGTATGTTCTCTTGCAGATCTGTACGTTCTAAGCCGGCTCTCCTGGCTCGTGCAGTGCAGGGAGCCTTGCCTGCCTCCTGTCTTCCCTGGTTTTGCCTGCTGAGCTGCAGCCTCTGCGTGCAGTGATGAAGCTGGTAGTGCTGCCTGTGGGGCAGCTAGAGAGAGCAAAGGGGAGCATCGAAGAAGGGCCTCAGAAGGCTGCTGTGGGAATGGCAAGAAAAGGATATGCTCAYGTTTTATGTTTTTATATGTCTGATTGTGSTATGTATATGATCAATATGTATATGATGGTCTGTACAACTGGTTTGGTCTAACAAAGCRTAACACTGGTAAATGCATAGAGCAGTCTATATTATATTGCACTGTATGGATTCAGCTCTTCTTAAAAAGCAAGCAACCTCTACACTCTACAGCTTAATCATTATTCCTAGGAATATTTTTTTCTTACTACTGTATTAAATACTTATGCGGTGAGCTTTTCCCTAAAAGTAGTCTGAATAGGTCTGTACTGCAGGCTAATGCTTTTGCCACAACTCCTGTAAGCCCTTCRTTGTTACTTTTTCCTCTCCCCACTGTATTTTCCCAATGGTTACTCTTCTAATAGATTGTATGGATTTAAGTAAGATTCACATTTCTAGYAGTTTCACTCCATTCTTGTCTGACTCCTGAAAACAAGTTCTCAGCAAAAGAATCTAGAAATCTGATTTCATATACATAATGGTACGGCTTCCCAAATGAATACTAAGCCAAGATGTTCTGACTGATGCTCATTCTTCCTCCTAAAGTAATTACTCCTGGATTCATAGATTCATGGCTAGCTAGAAGAGGTTTGGCAATGTCTAATAGTACCTAACTGAAATTAAAGCAGTGAGAAGAGGAACTAGTGTGAAGAGAATCTTTTTGAAGGAAGTTTGGGCTATACATATTTGTGGAAAAATGTCATTCAAATTTACAGGTTCACTTTGAAATAAGAYTGTAATGTTTTCTAAAGTCACTTCTGGGACAGTGCTATAAAAAGGTAACAGTTTTGAGTCAGAATCTGTAAAACCTTGAGAGTCTGACACCAATGAAACTTTGATTAGGCTGCAGCCACCTTCTGCCAATGATTTTCACACTGGTCTTCACCCCCCACCCCGTCCTGACCCCACGGTTGAAATGCTTGTCAGGAATTTTGAGAACTGAAATCTTTTGGCAAGGAGAGATCACACTGGGAGCCAAGCTTCTGTTTGTCACCAGTATGTTATCTTTTTGCGACATGTTACCATTTTCTCCACTTAYGTAAAATAGCAAGTGGGATTCTGCTTGTGAACATGCTTTAATGAGGCAGTTGCAGGCGTTGAGGAGCAGGGTGTCAGCTGCGGGGAGGGAAGCTCCCAGTGCAGGGTTTTGACTGTTGTGCATCACTGCGCAGCCGCTCTGACAGGGCTCACCGGCGGTACTGGGCAGCAGCGGATCGATGGAATTATGTATTGTTTGTGTATGTGAGTTTGGCTCTTTTTTTTATTAACAAGGGGAGTTCGTTTGCATTCCTCTTGTATTCAGGCTTATTTATTCATTTTGGTTGGAATGCAGATCTGTTTGTGAAACTAATCTGTTTTGCTGTGAAAGGTTTGTACTTTTTAAGGAAGTTGTTTTTATTCTTGACTGAAGAGAAATTCAGTCAAATAATGSCCTGCAAACTTGAGTGACACAGATTGTGTTAACTAGCGTCCTAAAATACTGTTCTTTAGAATACCCTGCAATAGCTGCACGTGTGGGATAATGACAAGAGAAAAAGCGGGTCTGGTTTCCTGTTCTGTCTAAGAAGGCTTTCTGGGCTGCATGCTGAGTCTGTCGGCCATAACATCACACCAGTTGAGTCTATATTTTTTAATGACATTTTCAGAAGTGTGCTTCTGTTGCAAGCGCTTTAGGAAAGATGGATGGAACTGCTGGAGGAAATGAGCTGAAGTTTGGTCTTTTTTCAAAATCAACAACCATGTTTAAAGTTCCTGGTCCGGTTCCCTAGCCGCTGGAGCAAACGTCAGTGAGAGCTGGGAAGATGATTCTGATTTGTGCCTCTTGGGAAGGTGTCCCYTGGCGCTGTTAGCAAGGCTCTGTTTCTCACTGTTCCTGACCACGGCCCCTCTGGTTCCTCGTTACCCCGTACAGTGGTTCTCGTCCTGAGCAGCCTCCTTGCAGTGGGCACGGGGAGCASCACATCCGTCACAGGCTGCCAGGGGCCCTTGCACTGCCCTGCCCACTGGGAACAGGAGCTGACGCGTGACGTGYGCTGTGGCTGCTTTGTCCACGCGTCAGGCTGCTGGGAGCACAACTGTGCTGAATTTGGTGTGAGCTGTCACACAAAACTGCCTCGGCCTGTGGATCTGCTGTATTACAGCACAGCGTGCTGCTGTGGCTTCCCTTGGTGGCTGAAGAGAGCAGTGGGGGGCAGCAAAGCCTGGTGGAAGGAGATGCTCCCGGGACAGGCTGCAGCTGTGGATGGGGGTCTGCGTGCAGCGACTGCAGCTGCAGTTAATGAAGCCAGTTCCCCCCCACATGCAGCCTCCAGGAGGCCCTTCGGCTGGGCCATTGACACATTCCTGGCCTTGGCTTGCTCCAAGAGTGCAATCCGTGTCATGAGTCTCAAAGTACAGGGGTGACCCAATAGTGGTGGCCCATGGTGGTAAGAAGCACGTTCTCACCACAGCCTTGAAACTGCCTTCAGCAGGTTGTTGTGCTCACTGGGGTTACATCACTTCTCTGGTTTCCTTTGGTGCCTCGTCCCAGGAATACTGATAGAGCAGTGGATGTGGCCTCTCCAGGAATGCTGAGGGTAGCTGCTATTGCATTATGTAAAAGCGGTAAGTACGCTTGTTTCAAGGCGCCCACTTAGCAATCCAAGGTTAACGAAAAGTGTCCTCAGAAGTGCTAGTGCGCAGGTGCTGGACACGTGTAACTGTGTTTCTCTGGCAGCTGTGAAGCAGGGTGGTGAGGGCTGCCGGTGCCAGGCACAGCCCAGAGCGCCCCGCAAGCCCGTGATGCTGCGTAGCGGTCCCGGGACGGGCGGGACGGCGTGGGGAGCGCAGCGYGGCTGCAGTGCGCACGGTGCGGAGCAGGGACCCGGCTTTGCACTGCTTCCATGGGGATGCAGGGAGTGCCAGAGTGYTGTCGCGCTTCTTTCCCTAACAGAAGAACAGCTGCTGTGGACTGCGGTCGGGTTTTGAGCCGTGCATTGAAAACCCCTTAATGGGCTAAATGTGTTCAGCAATATTAAGCTGCTAACATAGTTTGGCTAAGTGTACTTAAAATGTTTAAAACTCTACTCAGCTCTGGTGAGGCTGCACCTGGAGTACTGTGTTCAGTTCTGGGCACCCCAGTATAGGAGGGACGTGGAGCTTCTGGAGAGGGTCCAGAGAAGGGCAACCAGGATGATTAAGGGAATGGAACATCTCTCGTATGAAGAGAGGCTGAGTGAGCTGGGCCTGTTTTCTCTGGAGAAGAGACGGCTCAGAGGGGATATG